TATATATATATATTGGAGAAGGCTGCTTAGCTACCTGTCTGCTGCCATGAGATTACTAATGTGGAGCCAGGGGTTCCTGAATGGTAGTTAATTGACATGTACAGTATGTGACCACTTTGGTGTGACACCAGTAGGCTGCTGGCATGGTGAACAGTGATGGGTGTCAAGTACCAGTGACCACAGGGGCTCCTCATTCATCACTGTGACAGTGAAGTAAGAACCTAGGCTGAGCCATCCTTTACAGTCTAGGCACCTGGGAGCATTGATAGAGTATTACATGTACAAAAAATCCAGCACCTTACATATGCTGTAGTTTTAGCAGTCCATACACTGGTAGAAAAGTCTGCAGGAAGATAAGAATGAATAAAGCCTCTTCTTCCCCATGCCTCAACCTTGTGGTAGTAGGGGACATGGGTGACTAACTTGTGTATTACATAGTCAAACACCATTCACGATGGTAGGCTAGGGATACAAAGATAGTAAGTATCACTGGGAAATGGCACACTTTGATCCATGAAATCCCCTCACCTAGGTAGGAAGGAATGCTTACTGGTGAAACAAATAATTTTATAGGATTATCTGTAATAACTAGATACAAGACCTCTTATTTGGGAACTGCCCTATACTTTTGTCGAAGTGGAATTCAGAGTGGAAGCTATTTGAGAATATTATCATTTTTTTTTGCCTCTGCCCTCATTGAACAATGGAGTTTCAACCACCCTGTTTACTCCTTGGTGTCACTGCTTGTTTCTTTATTGGTTTTTTGTGCTATCAATATGTGTGTGGGGTTTTATAGGTAGAATTTAAAAGCATGTCTCAGTGTACAAATCTGTCTTTCTCACAGCACACAGAGGCTTTACTTTATGGGTTCCAATCCATCGCAGAGACCATAGATGTCAACTACTCAGATGTGGTGCCTGGCCTTATTGGTCTTATCCCTCACATCAGCATCCGTAATGTGCAGCTTGCAGACACAGTCATGTTCACCATCGGTAAGGAGGTTGGGAATGAGGGAGGGAGATGATGTTGAAACGTCAGCTTAACCCCAGAGATCCTTAGCCCCTGCAATACTGGTGAAGTAACTGTTGAGCCACAGTGCCCATTAAGTGTGTGCTAGAATGTGTATTTCAGTGTGAATTGTTTGAACCATAAATTATTGCATGGTAAAAAAGGGCCTTCTGTCCATATTATTGGCTGCACTGATCTGTTTAGGACAGAAAATAGAATTGCTCTGATTGTGTGTTCCTTCTCTGCTTAGGGGCCCTCTCAGAATGGCTGTCTGACCACCCTGTAATGATCAACAATGTCCTGCCCCTAGTGTTGCAGGCTCTGGGCAATCCAGAGTTATCTATCTCTAGTGTCTCCACCCTCAAGAAGATCTGCCGTGAATGCAAACATGACTTGCCGCCCTATGCTGCCAACATTGTCGCTGTCTCTCAGGTAACTGAAAGAAAGATCTATGCCACAGGAATCTCCAACCTATTGCCTTGCTGCAGTTTGCAAAGTCTTTCAGTGTTGGTTTGATCCTTATCCTCCATTAGCCAGACACCTTCATTTGCCTAACTACAGCTTCAGGAGAGTTGGCAGGAATTTGTAGGCACCCCTCTCCTTTCTGCGCTGCACATACTCCCTTGCATTTGAGCTAAGTAGTAAGGAATAGATACGAGTGGAGAAATGATAGTGACTTTATTTTACTTTTAACACAAACCTCTTTCCCACAGAAACTGTTGCCCTCCATGTTGTCCCATTGCAACTCTACTAACTATCAAGATGTGTTCGATAATTACTTTTCTCTTGGAACTCGGTTGGAGAAAAGATTTCTCAGCCTTATCTCACGAGGCAGCGAAAAGCTAGGAGTTTTAAGTAACTGACTCTAATTTTGAAATAAGTGTGCAGGAGGGATCCATCTACCACAGTCAGAAGTAACATTCTAAAGAGAATACCTTGAGAGGTGGGGGGAGAATTAGCAGAATTGCACTCTCTGTTGCCCTTTGGCAGGTTACAAATGTTGAAGACAAAGATCCCTAAAATAACTTAAGGAATCAATCATTCTCAAAGTAGCCACTTATTAGTCCTGACAGCTGAGGAAGTTGGAAGCTTGGAACTAATGCTGCTATCAAAATTTGCTCAAGGGGGCTCAGCTCTCTGCTTTCCTGAATGCATTTTCACACTTCATGTTGAAAATGAGAAAGTTACATTTGCAGAAGAGCAGAGCTGTTGACCCTTGTGGCTGGCATGCTGGTACTTGGGGGCAAAATGCACATAACCAGATGCCTATAACAAATTTCTTCTCCACTGCGAATCATTCACAGGAGGGATTATTTTTTCCCAGTAGTCCAGTTTTCTCGGTAATCCCATGCCCTCCAGCCTTTCTTTGCTTGCCAGAGCTGTCATATGATGTTCTTGTGAAATAGTTGTATAGTAATCTATACCATACAGAGAAAATTGATTTTTGTGTATCTTTCCTTCTGTAGGATGTGCTAATGAAGCAGATTCATAAGGTAAGATGTTTGTTCTTTTCTCAGTGCTACAAAAGGTCAAAGTGTATACAGAAGACACAGTTATCTCTCAAGTACTGTACTGTGCAGTACTGAGCATTATAGTCAAAGAAAGGAGGATTACAGAAATATAGATGAAATGTCTCATTTCAAGAAAGAGTTTACACAGGGACAGTCATTATGATGCTTTTCTTCTATAATTTAAGCAACATGAAACACCTGTGCTCCTGGTCATCTATATCGCATTGGCAATTCTGCTGCTGAGCTGTACCATTAAAGACATATTTCTGGACTGACCCTGACATAACAGAGCTCATCTTTATGCCTTAGCGATGACTTAGGTATTGGAGAGATACTCAGCTAAAATGTCATTTTGAGTAGGTTTCAAGGTTAGTGGGTAAAAGTGAGCATGTTGTCCCTTTCGTTTTCTCTCCCAGACAAGCCAATGCATGTGGCTGATGCAAGCATTGGGTTTCTTACTCTCTGCCCTCCAAGTAGAAGAGATTTTGAAGAACCTGCATTCGCTTATTAGTCCATACATCCAGCAACTGGAGAAGCTAGCTGATGAAACGGTGAGCTGCATCACTTGCCTGGTAAAGGCTGCCAGTCTTTCCATAAGAAAGGTTGAGGCCTTTAAAATTAGTGCACAAAAGCTGGATAGGTCTGAAATATTGGGCTTCAAACTATGTTCTGTAGTTCTGCAGTCTGTTTTTACTGCCAGTTGGGATACCTGATTTGAGTGATTGTTATGTGTCTAGTGTGATGATTATAATGATTACTTGCATTACAGCCAAACCCATCCAACAAGTTGGCCATCATCCACATCTTGGGCCTCCTCTCCAATCTGTTCACCACATTGGACATCAGTCATCATGATGATGATCATGAGAGCACAGAGGTCAAGAAGCTGCCAGTGCCACAGGGTCCCAATCCGGTGGGTGTTACTACAGGAATTGTGCCCAAGTATATTCAGCTGCCCACTTAGCTGTATGCTTCTCTTCCCTGTCAAGTAAATATAAGCAGCTTCTTATAACTTTTAGCAAAGGAGTTAGCACAGAATGCTGTCAAAAGGCTGTGCAAGGCATGCCAATTTATTAGTATTTGTTTAAATATTAGATTGAGCCTATTTAGATCGGTGATCCAGGCTCTTTGATATGACTTTTGAGTTATTACAGATGAGTGTAGAACACCCCTCAGAGAGAGGCATCAATTTTGTTTACATTTCCTACTGAAAAAAAGAGAATGCAGCTGCAAATCTATGAGCAAGCCACTCTTGCAGGCCAGATGTTGTGAGATAGTCTGTGGTATTGAAAGAGTGCTCTAATCCCTTCTCTGCCTGTGGTTCTGAATGGTTATAAACTCTGCCTAGACCTTGGCTTATGTAAAGCAATTCCAAAATGACGTCCTATGTCAGACCTGGGCTAAGTGCAGCCCGAGAGCCGCTCCTGTATGGCCCACGGACAGTTTTGAACATCAAAACCATTTATAGCTTTTTGTCTAAAGTTGATCAATTGCTTATCTTTAACATGGCGCAAAAAAACTCTTTAGTATTTGTGAAGATTAGCAAGTTTAAAATAAAAACAATCATAATATCACTGTTTCATTTTATTTTTAAGTAAAGTTGGTTCGCCCCCGAACACAGTTAAGATTTTTCATGTGGCCCCCCTATAGAAATTAATTGCTCACCCCTGTCCTGTGTTCTGCTCTTCCTCCTGCAGGTAGTGGTGGTGCTGCAGCAAGTCTTCCAGCTCATCCAGAAAGTGCTCAGCAAATGGTTGAACGATGCCCAGGTTGTGGAGGTAATGCTTCTCCCATGTTAACTACTCAACAACACATATGGGCCCACACAGGCCATTTTGCCCAGTAGCTATAGCAACTAACAAGCTGAATTTGCTGCTCTGATTCCTGGCCTCAAGGTACCTGCCAGCAACAGAGCATCCTTTTAAAAAGCATGTGGTCAGGATAAGATCCATCTCTATGCAAGAAGAAGAAACGCAGAGCTTGGCTGGTGCTGCTCAGACCCCTGGATCTGGGGTAGGTATCAGGTATGCTGCTGGGCTTCACTCACCCCAGCCTATGTTAGTGTGCTCCATAGCATTATATCTCCTCTAGCTCCTCCTCGGTGGCTAAACATTGGCTAGTTTTAGTGCTCCTTTTTGGGCTAACCTGTTTAACTTGTATGCTGTACCGAGCAGATAGGACTGAAGAATGATGCCTTAAGTAAGTTATCTTTTCCTGTCTTCCTGTCAGAGTTGCCATTGTTAATATAGCAGTGGTGCTGTTTGTACTGTCTGTGTATGGTATTTATGGATAAGAAGCTGGTGATGTAGCACTTGGGTAATTTGCCAGGAAACTTGCTAGACAGCAGGTGAAATTTTAAATCTATACTGCCCTATGAAATGAACATGAGGTTTTTTAAATTTGCCCCAGTGGGTGAAAGTTGTAAGCAGAGACAATCGAGGCTATTCACAGGTATCTGGTTGTCTCGTGTGCTCCCAGAGGCATCTGGTGAGGCCACGGTGAGATAAAGGAAGCTGGAATAGGTGGGCCCTTGGCCTGATCCAGCAGGGCTCTTCTTATGTTCTTATGGTACAGTTTTAACACTTCAAAGCTGATATTTGGATTAGGGAATGGAGACTTGCTGGGAAGGAGCTAGGTATGCTACTCCGCAGGAGCATATATTATTTATGCATGACGGCTCAAAAAAGTTATGCAGCTACATTTAAATACAGCTACATTTTTGCAGAGGCGTTCTTGCTTTTTAAGCCAAGGTTAGGACAGATCCACAGATGGGTCATGGAACTTCAGGTCATCAGTGAAGGACGTAGGTATATTTATCGCTGACAGGAATATGTGTCTCTCAATACTAAGTTGATCCAGTCACTTTTTTCTATTTGTTGCTGTATTAAGAGATTTTCTTTGACAAATTTGTGTCATTTTGGGTTGAGGATACAGAATTGTGGCAACTGAGGCTGAGGGAAGGCTCCGTCTACTTGAAAGGAGCAGAAAACTGCATTAGAAAAGTTCAAAGTTGAATAGGAATTCCTGTACGTTTTGGTTTAGTGTGTTAATAAAAAGCTAGACTGTAAAGTATATCTTTCTTCAGTTGTATGGAGAAAATGTTATAGTAATTATTCAGTCACAACCAACATTGAATTTTCTGTTAAGTTTGTTCAATAAAATGACTTCTAAGCAGTAAATAAGGTGAATGTCATTGCATTTCTAAGGAGATTTGACCAGATGGAAGCTTGCCTATTTGAAGCAAAAATCTGGGTCCTGTGTAAATATGGAGATGAATGTTGGGCTAAGAGTAATAGTATTTCTCAGAAAGCTTGAAAATTGAGTTATAGAAACTGCTTGTTCCATTGATAGGGGTATGTGCAGGAAGCTGCTGGAATGAGAAACATTATGCTCAACTGAATATAAGCACTTGACACTTTATCTGGGAATAATAGGGTTCCTATCACTGATAGTATTAGAAAAGTATCACAAGGTTGTTTGGGACATCCTATCAGAACTTTGTTCATGAAAATAAATATTCTAAAGCAGGAAGGGTAACGGGGAGTTGTCCAGTGGAATAAAGCTTCTTTAAATCTATCTATAATAGATATTTAGCTGAGGGTCAAGATATTTAGGCAGTCTACCCTTGACATAGCACCTCCTATCCCCACAGTCTGTGTGCTCCATCTTTGAAAAGTCTGTGAAGACACTCCTGGATGACTTTGCACCTATGGTGCCTCAGCTGTGTGAGATGCTGGGCCAGATGTACAGCACCATTCCTCAAGCATCTGCTATTGACCTCACCCGGCAGGTAACTCTAAGAACATGGATTTGTGGCAGAGACTAGTAAGTGTAGGGGGAGCCTGATATGTGCTGAACCATTCTCATTCCCTTGTATCCTTGCATGGTCTTCCTTTCCCTTCGAGTCTCTGTGCAGATAAGACTGTGTATGTGTAGGTCTACCCTTAATCATGCTGGGGAAAATGGTGGTTGTAGTCCAACATTGGACAGGGATGTGCATGTGCACATATGGTACCGGGCAGTACTGTGGTGCCTCTGACCTAGTTGGCTTCCATCTTCTTTGTTGCTGATGGAGACAGCTAACCTGAGAAGCATGGTTTCTAAAGTAGAGTGGGGTGGAGAATAGGATGGGTGATATAGCAGGCTGTTCAGGCTTCAGTTTTCCTTGTCTCTTGTGTCCTCAGCTGGTTCACATCTTTGCTCATGAGCCTGTCCACTTCCCACCCATCAAGGCGCTCTTTCTGCTCGTCACATCAGTTACACTAACCCTCTTTCAGCAAGGTATGTGTGTTTGGCACCTTCAGCTCTCTGGGGCAGCCATGTTGGATACAGCTCTTCCCAGTTGTAATTTTTTGTTTGGCTTGTAGAGTGTGTTCAGGTAGGCTAAATCCCCTTCTCAGATCAAGATGGTGCCTGTTGAGCACCAAATGTTTTTAGCTTGTACATATGATGGTACATCCAATAATTGGTTTTTGCTGAGGCAAACTATCACACATGCCCCTCTCTATGTGTTGGTACCTGAGTGCTCAATGTGTCTTCCCCGTCATCCCCTCTGGAACTGTGCTCTTCCCCTGCTGCATTCTGTGTAAAGACCTGCAAGAAGCAAGGTTGAATAGGCTCCTCCACTTGAATGTTTGACTTTGAGCAGGGAGCAAGAATTACTGGGGAATGTGTTGCTGTGTTCAACTTAAACAGTGCCCCTACCTCCCACCCATATCCATTAGTCTTTTCCTGTGTCCCACACAAAATATTTTTCTTGTGGGCTCTGCACCCCTTTCCCTCCTTCCCAATTTTCCTGCTCAGAATATTCCTCCTATAGCTCTGCTGAGTTCTTAGCAAGTCCTTGGGCTTGCATTTGCTTCTGTGAAACTGCCATAATGGCATCATGGTGGCCCCAGTTGAGGGACCAAGCTTGGTGCATGTCTACAGTTACAGTCCAATCAATATGCCATAGCACAGATGGGAGGGAGTTTGCTCCCTTTTTCAGGTGTTTGTTTGAATTTGGAATTGCTGGGAAGCTACCAGTGCTTAGAGTGATATGCTCTTATGGTCTGACTATATCAGGCCTAGCTACAGCTTTGACAAAGAGGAAGAAGATTCTCACAGGGCCTGATATAGTCACTGGTGAAGGAAAGTATGATTACCAGCAACCAACCTGGATGTCCCTTATAGACAGTGTTGCAGTGTGGAATTCTTCCCAGCCCAGGCAGGCATCCAGGCAAGGGTGAAAATCATATATTGTGTTGGTACTCCCTACCAGAAGCTTTAGAGGGATTCCAGGATTTTGTGCCCACTTCACATTACTTCTGGATTTGTTTGACCTTCAGTTGCCTTTTCAGACCAAGTACTTTATGACAGTATATTTTCAGTACAAATGTGTTCATTGTCCACATGAAGCTGGTGTCCAGTTAGCACCTGCTTCTCCTTTTTTCCCTGCTAGGGTGCAGTGAGCTCTCCCTTCTTGCCCTTGGCGCTTGGCAGGAGACTCTGGGCATCAGGCCTATTCCTTTGCACTTTCTTTCTGTTCTTGGGTTTCCAAGCTCCATAATTTTCGTATGTTTTGTTTCTTTAACTTGCTTCAAGCTGCTCATGTACCTGCCCTCTTCAACCTACCCCCTGGCACCCTCCGTTCCTTCCCTTATTCCTGTTTTCACTTGTAAATTCTTTCTGTATCACATAACTATATGATGTTGAGTTGCTGTTTGTATGATTTTTCTCTTCAGTTACATCTTTATTATATTTTTAGGGCCCAGGGATCATCCTGATATTGTTGATTCATTTATGCAACTCCTGGCACAGGTGTGTTTTAGTTTCTTATTCATTCACTTTCTGTTCTCTCTCTTTCTCTTTTTTAATTCAATTTAAACCTATTTTTAGCTTTCTGTTGACAACGTTTTTTCTTTTAGTTGAATATCGAGTTTCTCCATCTGTTTCCGTGGAAGTTGAAAACAAAACATTCTCCTTTTTTCATAGGTGTCAGCTTGTCCCTTCCTTTCCCTGTGGGGAAGTACCTAGTTATGCAAGAAGGCTTGTAGATTGGGTTTCTCTTTGAGTAATATGTGGTGACCTGGCTCAGGAGGGGCTGTTGCAATATTGCAAATGTGATTCAAGGGCTATAGGATTCCAGTAGGATTCCAGTCCTGGCATGTAACTGTTTGTGTGCAATGATTCCATGCTTTTGACACAAACAGACAAAATTCATATTCTTTGGTTACCTGGGTAAGAGAAGTGTTCTGTTCAGTAACTTGATAGCTTACCTCTTAACACTCAGCTGATTTAGGGAATAACAGCAAGCCAGAGGTAGTAGCTGAGCCTTGACTTTTCATCTTTTTTATTTTATCTGTCCTTTAGAGCACCTGCTGAATTCTCCTAGGTCTGTTTCCTTAAGGTTATGAAATTTGAATTTATCCCTGTCTCTTATCCACTGCCCTCATATTCAGGGCAGTGTAACCAATAGTGCAATACAAACCACACAGGGGTTTGAGGTTGTCCATCTCTGGCATAGATAAAGAATGAAGCCTTACTGAATTCTGATGAGATCTCTTTAGACTGGAAATAAGCAGCAGTGCTAGGAAGTGATGGAGCAGAGAAGGATGGGATCTTTGGTACCGCCCAACTTTCCTGACTGCGGCAAGATGTTGTGTTGTTGGCTGTGGCTTATTGTTGCCTAATGAGGTTCCTATAGGATGTGTTTGAACATTTAGCTCCACCTTGTGGCAGTTTATACAGTTTGCACATCTGGCAAGCAGTAATATTAAAAAATCTCACATTTGTTTTCTAGAAAGCTGAGTCAAACTTTCAAAAAACATTGCAATTTTATAACAGAATTGTAACCTCAAAAAGTCACCTTTTAAAGTGTCTGTTCTTTTTTTCCAACTAGTTACTGTAATGGGCTTCTGGCTATCAATTTACAGTTAGATGTCTAATATTGACATCAGCTGTAACAGGTAGTTGATGGTGCATCCATGATTTTAGCAGAGGTTGGAGGACTTGTCATCCTGTGGCAGGATGGAACGAGGTAAGGGCACAGCTGTGAGAGACTGAATAAAAGATAGATAGTTGTAAATGAAGTGACAGGGAACTGACAGGAGGGGAACTGAAATAAGTCAACAAAGGTCTACTTGCTCAACCTCATGCTTCAGCCAAGAACATCATAGCAGTTCAAACTCCATGCAGCTAGATAGGGAACATCCTGGTTCTCCAGTCCCCTGACTGCCTACATATAACTTGAGGCTGTGCCTCAAATAAAGAAGTTGACTGGAGCCATTATGTGATGGATATAGGCCTGGAGATGAGGAGTCTTCATCTCCAACCTACAATTGTTCTTGAAAGAGATGGCTGTTAGATAAGGTCAATGATGGTTATTTTGCCTAGGCCCGCATTGAATCACCCTTAAAAGGGTGGTATATCAGTAGACTCAGAACTATAATAATACTTCCTTATAGTATTTGTGTCTTTCATGGACCCCATTTATACATTTACCTTTTGGTTGAAAAATGTTTCTTTAATCTTGTATATTTTATGAGAAACTCAGATTAGATATTTTCTGGGGATAGCTAGTTCAAGTACTCTTCCAAGGCATACTGTTGCCTACTGGTAACTTTCATCATTTGTTTAGAAGATAAAAAAACTAGTTATTTGGATATAATGCACTCAACATCCTAGGAACACCAGCAATATTCTCTTTAAGCTGTGTTCTTGCATAGTGCTGTATTAACTGCACACCTGCAGTTAATGTTGCCCTTCATTAAGTTCTGGTTGTGGCCAGAACTTTGCATGTGCATGGTGGGGTTTCCACTCAGTGCTGGTGGAAAATGAGAGGGAACGTTGGGCAGCATATTTGCTATTTCCTATTCTAATTTGCATCTGTGAATTCAGGTTCTATCACATTCATGCCCAGAACAACAGAGATTGGGAGAAGAAAAAGGATATTGCAAATGTATTTATGTAAAATAACAAGGATGTTCAGGACACTCTTATGAATATTTGTCAGCAGATTTGCAGATAATTTTTAGAAACAGGCTTTTTTTTTAGCTTTAATGCTTTGTGATCTTGCCCATCTTTCAGTCCCTGCTGGAAGTTTTCCTGCATCCTTGTCTACTAATCAGTGTCCATGTCCTGATTGTTCACTGTGTGAAAGGTGACTACATGTATATGTTTCCCCAGCCAGACCCCCAAGAATTTCCTGATTCTTTACAAGATATACTAGGCTCTTCTAGAAATGACAATTCAGTCTACTTTAACAGACAAGTGCTCATCGGTTTCCCAGAGGTTTTGCCCTCCCATATGTAATTTTCACTGTGTAGTGTCATTCTGTTTCCTCTATGAGAGCAGGGGGTTCCTTGACAGTAGTAATTACTTAGGAACATAATAGCTATCCTCTTGCTGACTGACTCAGCTTGCAATTTCACTTTGCTTATGAAACTTAAGTCTTTGAAATTTACTCCGGGTGTTCTGGGGCCATAAAGAGTCTGCAAGACAGGAGTTATTTCTGAACAAATAGATCCTGCCTGTTGTCTCTGAGACAACAATTTTTCTTAAAAGATTCTAAAAAGGAGTGGGTTTTGTAAAGGACCTAGGAGCTGTCAAAGAGAGCATAAAGGTCTTCCAAGAGTCCACTTTAAAATGCCCACAAGAACTGTAGGCTCTCCTATTTGTGTTGTGGCTTTGTGCCTTTGAAAAAGCCAAAGTAGAAAGTCTCATTACATGCTCATGTTTCAGCTCTAGCCATATATAATGCCAGAGTCTCTGTACTCTTGATAGTTTTTATGCCTTCCACAACAAAGTTGGATGTTAAATGTGCTTACTATGGCAATTCTAAACCTGGCATGCCTGTAATTCCCCATCTCATTGCTAACCTTTTCATTCTTTTACATGGTGAATAGATCAGTTTGTACCCCATCTCCTGGACTAGCACACCCATAAGACTTATTACAGTTACAAGATGCAGCAACATCAATTCTAAAACAGTAGTAAAACATTTGAATATATTTTAAAAAATCTTTATTCTTGAAATGCCTTGCTAAATTGATGTTTAGTCATGTACCTAAGCATAGTAGATTCTGTGGAGAACGAACTCCAACAGGTGGGTACCACCATTAAGAGACCCTTGCTCCTTGTGGCCAAATCTTAGGTGGCATTTGGATCAGGGTAATATCTGATGACCTAAGCCAATGAGAACCCAAGAACATAAAGGGAAGGTGCCTCTCCTTATGCTTCTGGATTCTAGATCCTGATATTATGTATGCCATTGGTTTCCAGATGTCAGAAAGAAGACTGAATTAGATTTGAAAATGTAGCTCCTGGAGTATGACAATTCCCAAACATTTGCAAGCACCTCATAAAAACAGACCTGTCAAATCTCATCTGGGTTCTTTTATCTCCGAGTTGGCCTCAGTTTGCAAAAGACTTGAGAAGATTTAGGGTAGTGCTTTCTGTTTGATTATGCTATAGAATTGGTAGATTCTCTCCTGATTCATTTCCTGCAAGTAGTTAAGTCAAAAGTCCCTGCTTATGTTAGCATAAGTCTGCCAATTACAGAAAATGTTCTGTCTTAGCAGTGGCAGAGTGAAAACTGAAGTCAGTAGGAAGGTTTCTCACAACATCCATATCTGTTTTCTGTTTTCTTACAAGCCTCCACTAAAACATTCATTGTCTCTAGCAGAAGGATATGTTTGTTGGAATGAGGAAATCATCACTTTTCCAGTCAAGTGCACTAGTATATTGTGCACTATATATGTCTTTGCATAATTATAGCTACAACAGTCCTTTATCTTTCTATTTTTAGTTCACGAATAATCAAATCATCCTGATTTGTATTGGGTGCCCCAATAATGCCTCTATAAGCTCTAAATCAGAAAGCTGTGTCCCTAACCTTAGTTTTCCTGAAATTCTATTATTTTGTTAGCACTTGGAAGGTGAAAGAAATGGAGAATCATAAAAAGGCACATTATATTGAATACATGAATTGCTTAAGACAGTGAAAGCTTGAGCCATTCAAAGGCTGCTTCTCAAATTGTCTCACAAGTCCCAGTTCTGGCATACTTCATGCAGTTACTTTGAGACAAAGGTGGTTTTTTTGAGAGGGTGTTTTCACCTCACCTTATGCCTACTTTCCTATCCCTGCATACTAAAGGTAGGTTTTTAGGAGCAGGAACAGCAGCCATTACCATATGTGGCCCTTGGGACTAAAGAAGTTGTTTTATCCTTGCTGTATTTGTCCTTTCTACCTCTTTCTGTGTGGTATAGCAGAAAAATGAACTGTATTCCAGGCATACCTATTTTCCACTGAAGCTTCCTGTAGTGCTTTTCTTTTTGCACCTCTAAGTACATCTATTTACTTAGTAATTGTACTTTATATATAATACTCTCTTTGTGAGTGCTTATAGATATATATAATGTACAGTAGATTAAAATGATGTACTTAGAGATGTGCATTAGTACAGTAATGGATAAAATGTCATTTATGATAGTTTAGAATACTCAGTGGCAGTTTTAATCATAGCCTTTGGAATACAGAGGTGTTGCAAGCCCTGAAGGTTAGCACTAAAGATGGGGATATTCATATTCATATACAAATATGAATATCCCCCTCACAGGTGCAGATAACGAGACCAGCCACTCACCTCTCCGTCGCTGCCGGCGGCTCCACAATCCTTTCCTATCACTCCGGACCTTGCAGTGGATTAGCCACTCTTCCACCTGGCAGAGAGGCTTGTCATCCTGCCTTCTGCCAGGAGTGGCTAATTCATCATGAGCTCTGGAGTCATAGGAAGGGATAGTGGAGTCTGCAGGTATGGTTGGACCCTCGTTATCAGCACAGTATAGCGAAGGGTAAGGTTCAGTTTCATCACTGTACTTACTTACATGATAAGAAAGGTCAAAACTTTTTGTTTCTTCTCTATGTGTCTTTGGTTGTGAAAGAATTAAAGAACACAGGGGAAGCTGGCAGCTGGGGAAATGATATTGTTGAAACCAGCCTTTGGAGCTGGGAATGTCATCATTAGAATGTATTACAAGGAACAGCATGAAAGAGTTCTGTCAGCTTTGGAGATGATGTTTCAGTGACAGAATATATGCTTCACATGGCTTATGGGGAGGTATAGTTTAGCTACTAATAGTCAAAGCTTAATGTTTGGGAACTGGTGGAGTAGATGTCCCTGTCTTTCAGTAATGAAAACACTTGGAGGCAATGCTGCTATCCATGGTGCTGAAATGATTGCTATTGCCTATACTTGCTGTCCATGGTGCTGTGTCCATGGTGCTGCGATATGTTGGCAGGTAGCAATATTTATGAAATCCAAGAATCAAACCTTTCAGGTGCCTTTATGTTAATGAGAACAGTTTCATTTTTTCCCTCTGATGGTCAGGAATGTTACATCTGAGAGGCTGTTTTTCTAGGTAATGCTTTAATTACATGTCTCTTCAGAGGTTCCTAATTATTTGGGGTCCTAAATCCCCGTTTTCAGAAGTGCCCAGAAGTTATATCTTTTCCCTTTCTTCCACATCTGGCTTGCTGTGCACCATGGCTAATGGCCAGGTAAGTGCACATGTGGGAAATGGCCATGGGGCTGCTTTGTGGCACTTGCTCACTCCTGGCTTGCCAGAGCTGTGTTTATTTTGTGTGTGTGTGTGTGTATGTACCTTGCAGGCACTGAAAAGGAAACCTGACTTGTTCCTGTGTAGCAGCCTGGATGTCAAAGCAGTGTTTCACTGTGGTGAGTAGGCAGGCTCATTGAAATAATAAAAGGGGATTATTCTCCCTCAGCATTCCGACGAATACAAGAAATGGAGCAGGGGCAGTGTCCTTGGTTCAGAAACATTTCTCACTTCATAAATACTAAAGCTCCTTGTAAAATCTGCATGCTTGGGGAAGGGAAGGCTATTTCTCTTTGACAGTATGGAAAACAAAGAGTTGTATGAACTATTGTCTGTCCTGTTGCTTTCTTTCTAGGCGTGATCTCCTTGAAATTCCCTGAAGCTCCCACTGTCAAATCTGCCTGTGGCTTTTTTGTGAGTATTTTGCATTTGGCAACTCTGATATAGGTAGAGTGGTGTTTGGGCCAGGTGGCTAAGAAATATGTGTGTTGAGACAGGGTAGAGGAACGTCCAGAAGATACCTTTTTTTCCAAACATTAGGGAAAAATATTTTCCAAACATTAGGAGGGCCTTTCCTTGTATAAATTACCACTTGGTGTGAGGGTTTTTTGGTGTGTGTTGTGTGTGTTTTGTTTGTGGTGTTGGTGCTTTTTTGTGGTTTGAGGGGACTGTGAGCTATCTAGAGACTCAGTATGGTGTAGTGAATAGTGGCAGACTAGGACTAGAGATGGAGATATTCATATTTGTAAAGGAAAGGAAGATGAATATTCCCATCCCAGGTGCACCTAATGCCCTTGGAACTCGCCTGTCCACTGACGTGTCGCCGCATCACCAGCCTCATGCTCTTCTCATCAATCACGGAAGTACCTCCACTGTCTCCTGCTCTTCTAGCCACTCAGCAGCCATGTGGGGAGACTTGTCCACCTGCCCCCTGCCTGAAGCAGCCAGCTGAGCCAGGAGATGGTGGAACTACTTCTGCGATTGGAGAGAAGAGTGGAAGGCTGGTGGCATTTTGGTCAGTGAGTGGACGGACCAGTTCCAAAAGCTGGACCAGTATTAGGCACACTTGGGATAGAGATATTTGTATTTGTTTGCAGATACGAATATCTCCATCTCTTAACTAGGACCCAAAAGACGGTTTGAATTGTCATTTGGCCATAGAAACTCACTGGGTGCGTGTAAATGCTAAAACCACTCCTTATCTAACCTGGAAAGCCCTATGAAGGTCACTGTATATCACTTCCAACTTGATAGCACATCACACACAGCCACACTGAGCTGTCTTCTTTCATCTGTATGTGCCTATATCCTAATTGTTTACCTTGTATGCACACAAAAGGGCCAGTCTCCACATAGGAATGCATTTACCTCTTTTCTAAAGAGTTGCATTAAGAAAGTTTGGAGCACTCTTTTCTCATCAGCTGTTTTTTACAGACTGAGTTGCTGCCACGTTGTGGGGAGATTCCACCTGTGGGACAAGTGGTACACGAGAATGGCAAAATGTTGCTGCAGGCTGTGCTTGAGGTAAGAAGTGTTTTGTAGATACATTTTGGAATAAAGAATGGATGTGCTTGTCACTATGAGTTTATTCATTCAGCTCCTAGAATGTTCAGGACAATTTGCAGCTTGATCCTATCCATCTGTACTTAGAAGTAAATACTATACTCAGTGGGTTTTATTGCACTGAGCACAGAATTGCAAATTTTAGTCATATTTCATTAAATAAACAGAAGCCTGAAATACACTGGAGCATTGGGTGCCATCTGCTGAAGAGTTCCTAGGTCTGTAAGTTAAAGCTGCTTCAAGTAGTGCAGTATCCTGGAAGTATTAACTGGATTTGTTCCACCCCTGCAAGGGTGTAGGTGGCCAAGCCTCACGCAATTTGATGGATCACTTCGCTGAAATCCTCTTTGCTCTCAACAAGCACTGTTTCACTTACCTAAGCATCTGGATCAAGGAAGTGATGCAGCAGGATGGTTTTCCATCAGCGCGTGTCAGCCCTGAGCAGAAGGAGATCTTCAGCCAGCAAATTCTTAGGTATGTTCCCTTTTGGTACCTCTTCTGCTAAGCAAACTGGGGACAGTTGTGTGAGGAGCTGCCTTAGCTTTTAAATGTTCCCCTGAGCTGAAAAGTTGGTCTTAGCCTTGCATGTTCTTTTTCTTGGTGCAAGGAATGTCCATTCTGGCAGTGAGTTCATTGGGTTCTCAAAAAGCTTTCCTTGAATGATGGAAATATTATAGATTCCCTGGCTTAATACAGCCAAAAGACTTCAGGATTATGCATTTGCCTGGGTCTAATATTGCACAAAGGAAATGGCAACACTCTGCAATTCATAATGAGTTTTAGTTAATTTTTAATCTATAATTAATATGTAAAAGATACAAGGCACTGAGATACAACAAAGATAAACAAAAAAGAAGTTGGACAGAAAGGAAGCATAGTGCAGTTTCTAAGTTTAGAGGGTTTTATCTTTGTAGTGGGATTGCTGTTGTTTTTAGTGTTCTTTCAGTATCACCTATATGCTGCTACTCCGTGTAAGGAGCCATGAGGTCACCAGCACTCGTATTGTCCTTCAAATGAAGAATCTCAGAATCTCTTCTCCATGGGCTTCACATATTGATCCCTTGGTCATCTCCCTTAAAGAATTCAATTACCAGATTTTCAAGTCTGCTTCAGTCTAGCAAACGCTCAGTCATTATTAGAAATACAGTGGTGCCTCGCTTAGCGAGCGCACCGTATAACGACGAATCCGTATAGCGATCCCCTTTTTCGGGATCGCTATACGGAGCCCCCAATCGCCGCACCTCGCATTGCGACGATTGGGGAGTCCGGCCGCCATTTTGGAGCCGCTTCAAAACGGCCATGGGCAACCCGAAATGGCCCCGCGCGGCGTTTTCGCGCCCTCGGCAAGCGAGGGGAGGGCGCGAAAATGGCTGCCCGGGGCCAGGAAACTTCTCTAAGTGGGAAGTTTAGGGCCGATTTGGAACGCATTAAATGAAGTTTAATGCGTTCCAATGGCTTTTTACTTCCCGCTTAGCGAAGATTCATATAGCGAAGGTTAATCCGGAACGGATTAACCTCGAAGCTGCTAAAATCCAACCTCCTGCTCATTCATTCTGTGTGACCTAGCTAATAACAGCACTTATAATGCGGGTCATTTGTTTGCTTGAGCTGCTAAAAATGTCTGCAAGATAAGCTGCTAAAATCCAACCTCCTGCTCAATAAGCGACTAGATTAATTCAGCCAATGAAGAGCTAATGTGAATTATTTGCCACATCATTTCAAGAGCATAAATATATAGACATCTGATCATACAAGAGAGCAGGGGTAGTGATGAGCATCTCTGTGGCTGTACGCAACCCTTCAAAACTGTTTTTGTGGTCTCCTTCAGACTTCCAAGCTCCTCACCGGGGGGGGGGGGGGAGGAGGTAAATTGTCCTATCTAGAGAACTTCAGGATAAATAGGTAGTATGTTTTGACAGTGTTTAATATTAAAAATTACCCATTTTTCAAAAACTGTAAGTGGACTTCTGATTTTGCTTAGTTTTCATTCTTTCACATTTTTCATGATCCGTGTAGTCCCCAGAGGATCCCAGGGCAAAATGGTGGAAATATTGGACATGATACCACCTCATATTCTACCATCCATTAGTCTTGTTTGCCAATCTTTCACTGTCCTTCCTCTGTGTTAGCAGAGAACGTGTGAACAAACGTCGTGTGAAGGAGATGGTTAAGGAATTCACACTGCTTTGTCGGGGACTGCATGGTACTGAATATACAGCAGACTACTGAGTGACCATGAAGCAACAAACTGGAGCACAAAGAGGTCTGCTGACTACCACTGCCCTACGCTACTACTGAAACAGCCCAGAAGATGGTAACTTCAACTAATCTGCTAAAGCTGCTCCTCTCAAAAATGGGCTGTTTCTTTGTTTCTCCCGCATGTTCAGAGGCAGCAGGCTGCAAGGACGTAGAGCAGAGCCTGGAGCTGAGAACTGTCCCTCCCCATGCAGGACTAGTGCAATGATTGCCCCTTGCCTCCATGGGACACTGCTGTAGACATGTCTGTGGTATTGTGTGTTCCTAAAGAGTCTGCCCTTGCCCTACATGAGGCAGCTTGTATTTGACTGAAGTAGAAGGCCCTGCAGCCTTGAATTATATTAAGACTATTTCTAAGTTGTAGTGGTTGCTGAATTAGGGGTACAGGGCTTAATCTGGAAGGAGGTATGGGCATGGGAGGGATGAAGTGGCAGCATTTCTGTCTGCCCTATCTTAATGGGGGCAGTAAATAGCACTATGATGTCCTTTTAAGAAAAGATGAGAAATTCAAGTTCTGCAGCAAGGTAGCAGATAGGAGGCAAAGACAATTTCTGAGAAACAAGTATCTTGCTCATGCTTGGAGTGCCAGCCTAATGAGAGGTGTTGCTTTACCTCTTCACCTGTTGTATTTTGTAGGTGCATCCTAGTCACACTGTACTCCACTAGTCCCATCAAAGCTGTCAAAATGTAAGCAAAAGTTGCAAAGGTCTGCCATGGATGATTTGCAGCTGCCTTCATAGAATCTGCTGAAGGATGATTCTAATTTTCTTTCTAGCTTAAGAAGATGTAGCTACTGATGGGGTGGAGATGAATTACAAAGAGGAAGAAATCATTTATTTATAGGGAACATTTCTACATATGGTGTCACAGTGCTTAGGACTGATAAGAGCAGAGCCAGTTTGCAACTCAGATGCAGACCAGATACAATAGCAGTCCTTCCCCAACATACAAATAGGCATCTAACTCAAGTTTGCTTTTATAACATGCTGTTTATTATCCACATCCAGATAGGGGGAAAGTAACTTATGAGTACCTTGGTGTACTGTGAACTCTAGTAATCACCCATTTTTGTTGTTAATGAGAATGTACCAAATTCATCACCAAATTACTTAAAAACCCAATGTCTAAATACCAATATAATTAGTGCTAGAGACTTGGTCTGGAATTTTTCTATTTCCAAGGCAAACTGCAAAAATGCTTGGGAAAGGAATAGGCTTATCTTGGGATATCAGAATATGAATCACAGAAACATGAAGTTGGAAAGGGCATATAAGGCCATCAAGTCCAACCTCCTGCTCAATGGGTTCATAGCAACAGCATCCAAATGTGAATGCCACACCTGGAATCCAGACGTTTTACCTGCTTAATTGATGATAAAATAATGAAGGAATAGCCCACACATGGGAAAAATGAAACATATTCACAAAATTCTTGAAAACTGGGAGGAAAATTAACTTCTAGCCAGCCTACCAGACAGGCTTTATGCACACCTTAGAAGTGGTGGGCTAGATCTTGTGATTCTGAAATGTATGTTGCAACAGTATGGAATATATTAAAATAAACTATTTCCATGCTGCCAGTGATATGTGGGAATAGCAACTTGTCATTAGAAAATGTCCCATGTCTACTGGAGTTTCTGACCTCAGACAAAACCAGTTCAGATCCTAATGTGAGAAACATGACTCCGTAGTAAGGAAAAAAAATCAGTGTAGTCTTCACACTGCTAACGCAAGTTGTGGACTACCGTCTCTGACACAGTCCACAAACTGTTGCCCGTCCAGTGTTTGGAAAAGTTACTTTTAGTGAATAAACACAAAATTACCATGGTAGTATAAAGAATGCTTGTTTGCAGGCTGAAACAAAAAAGCAGAAGTAGAAGAGCCCTCCCTCAGCTGAAAGCAGATCCTTGGATACAGTGATCTATTGGAAGCCTCCACTACCATACTCCCATGGAAAGCCCTCCAGAAATAAGAGAACCAGTTGTGGTCTTTGTTGGTGCTTGGATGATAATGAAACATTCTAATAAGAATTTAAAGGTGGATTTGGATCCATTACATCCAAAGCTCCCTTGCAGCTAGGTCTGGTAGTGATTCTTTCCATTGGAACCAGCAAGATGGAAATAAATACCAAATGAAAAGCACTGATAAAAGAGGAAAAATGTTCTCTTCCATATAGCAGACATGGTGGATTGTCCACCACTTAACATCCCCTCTCAGGACTGTTCAGTATCTGCTGCTTTGGTTTAGGTTTTGAAAACTGAAGGAGAGAGTAGAACATACCCAACAGTTCTGCAAAGGCGTAGGTGTAGTTTTTGCACAGTCATGTTAGTCTGTGAACACATATAAGTCCAATACAGAAAAAGGGAACAAAAGGCAAGTGCAGTTATTCTAAGCCCAGGAAACAGAATATTGTGCAGGTTTGGCTACTTAATTGCTTTCAGTGGAAGAATGAGTACTTTCTGTATTAGATATGTGTCCTTATAGATCACAAATCCACTTGTTGAAGTGCTTGGCTCTAAATGCATCTTTCCAAGAGGTGGAAGGAAATGTGAACAAACTAGTATGACTCCCTGGAAAAGACCCTGATGTTGGGAAAGTGTGAAGGCAAGAGGAGAAGGGGACGACAGAGGACGAGATGGTTGGACAGGATCATCGAAGCTACCGACATGAATTCGACCCAACTCCGGGTGGCAGTGGAAGACAGGAGGGCCTGTCATGCTCTGGTCCATGGGATCACGAAGAGTCAGACGCGACTTAATGACTAAACAACAAAGTATGATTCATAAGAATCAGACCATGTGCTCTCAGCCTAATGTGATAGTTACTATATGCTAGTGCAATTTCCTGGATGCTGATGGCTATGCAGTTACAAGCTAGATCCATTGCACATGGCAGTTCTAAAGCATTTACAACAGTGGTTCTTAACCTTTTTGAAAGAAACGCCCCCTTGAGCCATTGAGGAAGTTATCATCGCCCCCCTCTTATTTCTTATTATATCTATTTATTTGTTTGTTTGTTTAAGACACTCAAATCCAATGACCCCTGAAAACAAAATTCAATTCCAAGAAAATGAAATGCCCCCAAAAAGTAACATTTAATGATTTAGTTGCAAGCGAATTTTAAGACTCAAAAAGAAATATAAAAAGGGCATAAAATGCAGGAACTAAAAATTTCAAGACGAAAACTCTGAAACTAAATTAAGATAGGAGGAAAATATATATTCATGCACATTGTAAAAAGGCTGCAGCCATCTTCACAGGTTTGGCTTGCTCCAGCGCCCCCACGCCGCCCCTTTTCGTTCTACCACCCCCCTGAAAAATGAAATCGCCCCCTGGGGGGGCATTATCGCCCAGGTTAAGAACCACTGATTTACAACATAATTAGTATAAATAGAATGAAAAATGAAGTCAGCAGTCTGGAAGGGGCCAAAGAAATTAAGTTGCCTCCCTCACACAACAAAAGAAGCAACTAAAGTACTATATAACCAACGTGGAAGCATGTCCTTTGTGCCTCCTTTATGTTTTATCCATTGGCATAACTGGTTATTTGGTATATTGAGGTTTTTGTCTGTCGCAACCTTTCTGGAAATTGATTTAATGTTCAGAACTAGTGCTGAGGCAGGAAACAGCCTGAAATGTTGAAAAGCACAAGCAACAGTGCACGTATAACCTGTGCACACACATACTGCCATTTTCCTTGAGGGCTTGCTAGGTTGTAGCTATTTGCTTCAAGTACATAGGTTTATTATCCCCATTTTGAATCTGACATAAATAGCCAACTGTGTCAAAAATTCATCAGTTTCTTGAGCCTGGCCCCATCTAAGAAGTTTAAGTCAACTCAACAAAATATTATTGTGGTACGAGTGATGATGACCAAGGATATCAGGTAAGTAGTTATGAACTTATACAAGATACATGCTTGCCAGTGCTCCTGGTAAGGGAACCTGCCTACCACAATAGGCACATGGCCTATACCAGTCATCGTCTCCAGTTGCTGTATTTGGACAATGAATACTGAGGAGAGTACTTGTGAATTTACAGTCCAGTAGTACCTTTCCTTAACAAAACCACATTAAATTATCTTCTACATGGAATATTTGCCTACAAAAGTTTCTAGGGAATTGCTTCCCTGAAGTTTTCTTGTGCATTATTTTATACAATTTTGCAGGTCTCTTTCAGGATTTCCTCACTATTCTTCCTGCAGAAAGCCTCATTTTGCTGTAATACCTTCTCTGACAGCATAGATTAGGTGTATTTTGAACAGTCATATTTTCCTTGCCCCTCTCCTGTCACTCCCATATTCAGCCAAACAGCAGCACAGAGAGCTTTGACTAGATGCTGTATACCATGGAACTCTGATGACTAAGTGGTATTGCATATTGTGATATGGGGCAACGGTACAGGTTGATGAGAGAGCCCCACCATGATTGTGCTACATACTGCAAGTGTAAAGTATCCCTAATTTGGCTTGCCTTCATACAGTTCTGTAGAAATCAACAGACTGTAGCCAAAACAGGGTGGTTGAGAAATAGGCAAGGAGAGCTTAACATGCACAGTGGAATCCCAGGTTTTGCAGAAGTACACATTTTTTTAAAAAACGAGGAAGCAAAATAGATAAAAACCACTCAAGGTTGGATGTAAATTGAAAAAAAATGGTTAGAAAATAGAGCAGATTAGCTAATGGTTTCAGCCAACCAAATTCTGCCCCAGGGAACTTATTATGTGTACATTTTGTTATAAAAATGTAGCTATAAAATTCAAATATATAATACCTTATTATTTGTGAAATCCAGCCACTAATAGAGTCTTGCAACCAAAAACTGTTAAAACTATTAAAATCTTAGCCCCAAAAGGTATATAGGTATATCTATACTTTTCTAAACATCATAGCTCATTAATGGGTTTTGGGTGAAGAGAAGCAAACTTGGAAGCAAGCAAAGATCAGCTGAAGAAAGCCACATACAACAGTTGGAGATTCTGGTAATATCTTGTTTCAATGAACTTCATCAGATACTGCTATTGGAGACCAACGTTCTTCATATGAGCAAAATTCTGCATGCTTTCAGAGAAAGGAGTCGTTAGGTGTCCCAAAGTGCACATGAACTTAAACATACTTGTTTGTAATAGTTTAATAGGAGATATCTGGCTCAATTTCATTTTTGATAGACTTTAAGAGAAAGAGAAGTAATTTAAGACAATTTCAGCTTTTGAGAAGCTAATGGTTCAGTTTTTGGATTGTTTCTGCTTGCAGCTCATTTAATTGCTCTTGTTTTGTTTGGGTGGAAGTTTGTGTTGGAACATCCTGATTATTAGGTGATAATCTAAGGTGGTCTTACAACAATATGTTGTGGTCTATGTGATATATAAGACTGAATTTGGTTGTCAGAGCTCTGCAGGTAGGTTTTAACCATGAAGTCTATGGTCTTGTAGGCCATCAATCTAAAATTTGCCTCCTACTAATAATGATGCTGATGCTGAGCATCAACTTAATGGCACTTGGAAAGTCAAAGTTCTCCACAACACCTCTAAACTCTGAAGATGCAAACTACACATAACCAGCTGCTGATCTCAGTAGCAGTCATTGGAATGATGGACCACTGCCTGAGAAATGGGCTCTTTCTGTGCTGTGAGACAGTCCAGGACTAACTTGAACCTGCTAAAATGCAGTTGTGTTCATGAACTTCTACTTTCATGCTTTGTCATCGTTTAGTCGTGTCCGACTCTAAATGGCAATGCCAGTCCAGTATCTTTGCCAAGAACGCCCCATGATCAGAAACTTTCATGCTTAGTGCTTAACAAATGACAGAATGGCACCTCTGGTCTTTGTTCTCATTCTCAGGATATAACGTCACATTTCTGTCAGATACTCATCACAACATATTGCTTCATCTACTTCTCTCCCTTACTCCTGTTCAACCATCAGAGTCTCAGTTGGTCCTTACCTCTCACTACAACCATTCAACGATACCTTGCATTGTCCAGAAAGAACAAGGAAAAGGCCATGTGAACCTATTCAAATACTCTAGCTTAGTTGTAAAAGCAATATGTGGTACTGTATGGCATTCCACAGGAACTACACTCTAAGAATTTTTGTCTTTAGGCAGAAATAAGTTGGAGTAGAGGGTGACCTCTAGCCAAATACAGTATGTAATAAACCAATTACAGATTTTCAGAGTATTAACACTTTCTTCTATAGTCCTCTATTCTTCACGAGAAATAATCTAGGGTCAAAGAAGGAAAAATCAGTGTAAAAATACTGATTGCAAATATTACTTGGCAGAGCAAATTTTACATGAGTTTAAAAAAATCTGCATAGACCAAAAATGATTTTAATTTAAAACAAAAAGATTAGAAATAAAAAAAAGTTGCTATTTTACATGAAGTGAGGTCTAGGCAAATTGGATACATGTATCTCATCCCCAGGGCTTGAAAAATTTTAGAATGTCTCACCAGTCAGTCAAAAATTTCACCAGTCAACATGACTGGTGAAACTTAGCCTTGCAATTTATGTTTAAACTTAAATTTAAACTAGGCTCTGTCTACATAACAATGCGCACAATCCCAAAATAAATATACCCTCAGATTGGGTTGCTTTATTACCTGTGTGCCTGTGGGGTCATGAAGCTTGTAGTTTGACTGCCTTTCTTTTGAATGTCTCCAGCAAAAAGAAAACTGAAAGCAAATGCGCCTGGCCTCTTAAGGAGCTAGGTCATTCGGTTGAAATTAGGAACAGGGAATCTCCATATTCTCAAGCTTGGGACTACTCTACATTCTCCTGCTGAGCTACATATCTATGCGCCGCTCAAACTCTCTTCTTGTGAGAAAAGGGCTGTTTTTTCTTTTTGCAATGGGAACAGGGAGGGGAGGACTGCAGGATCAGAGAGAGACGGACTGAGGGTAAGGAGGCAAGGAGGGAGAGATGGAGGGAGTTGTGGCTCCTCAAATAGCGTTTTTTCACTTATCACAGACGAGTGGATTTTTCAAGCCTTGTCCGTCCCTAATGTTCTATCTTGCATAGAACATTAGTGCTGCTAATTCTTGACTACATATTGATGCCCATAAAATAAGTGATATCTGCAGTATGCTCAATTTTTCTCCTTTGTTGGAATAAAGACATCTCTCTTTCTAATAGATAAGCATGTGGGTAAATACATTACTTGTCCCTCCTACACATCTTATTAAGTGGGGTAAGAGTCATAGATTCAACACCATGAGCAAATCTTTGGTATAGGCAGACATCCTATATCCTGCCCTTGGAAAATAAATTCAAAACTGGTTCTTGGGAACAGGTAAACACCCTTCCTCCACATTGTTTTCCCCCCCTCTTTTTAAATTCATTAATATTCAGGAACTGTAAAATATGTAATCGTATAGCCCGAAGTTATCTTGGATACATAGCCATATGGATAATTAACTGGATTCCATTTCTTCTTGACAGTGAGTGGCTCAGTCTCCAAACTTCTTCCACTTTTATTTCTATTCACCCTGTTCAAGTTAAAAATCATTTGTAAAATGGCACAAGGAAGAGTGACATCTTGTCCAGTTTTTTGTTTCGTTGATCAAGAATTTTATATGATGCTTTTAAGGTGTTTTATGGTAACATTTACTGGCTGAGTTCTTATGTCTAACATTAAGAGAACACCAGTTTTCATATTACTTTTCTGTCAAGGCTTTCAGACTGCACAGGCATCTACTATGCTTTTCCATCTAAAAATAAGTTTATTTTCCTGATTAGCTGGCCCCTAAATTAGAACCTTACTAAACTGAGATAAGAGAAATATAATTGCTGTAGATAATGATATGAGAATCTTGCACTGTATTTCAGATATGTATTGGTCAGTTACCTTGTTTCTCTCTTGCATGTTTTCTTGGAGAGTGCTCAAAGCTGGCCACTTCATGGCAGAAGCCAGTGACATACCATGAGGAGCTAGTTCCCGTAAACAGTTCCAGCCTGCTACCACCACTAGGGCAAAGAGCAGCTTTATAGTTTAATCAACATGAATGTCACAGACAGTACAGAAAACAGCTTTCCAGTACAGAAGACCTTTAGGAAAGCAGACTTCAGAGAATATTGTGCATCACAGTAATGAATTTTGAATATTGTTCTGTCCAGCGCTAGACCAGATCTCATAGAGCACAAGAGCTCTTGCCTCAGTGTGTCCAGGAATGAAGGAGAGGTTGACTAATCTAGTGACAGGTCCACATGATCAAAGTGACGCATCATTACCTGCTCCAGACCCAGCAAGGGAAGGCAGCTTCCACAGGGTTCCACAACTTCCACACCCTTATCATCCACAGGGTTCATCTTCATAGGCAATTGCAATCCCCCGCCGACCTCTTACAGCTTTTGTGACTGCTGTCTGGCCCAACTGTCGTTCCAATCCTCGCCAACTGCGTGATTCCAGAAATGAGGCTAAAACAGAAAGGAAGAATGAGCAACTATCTCCCCAATCTATATTTTGGGCACTCAGCACTTTCCCTTCAGAAGGGAACTGAAATCACAGAAAATCTTAGTGATAAGTGGGCAACCCATGGCCCTCAAGATGTGATGTACTGCAAGGCTCACCAACTCTAGTCAGTGTAGGTAACAGAGATGTACCATTTGTGGATTTTTAACATTCCAAATCCCAAGCAGAATTCTGGGAGTTCTAGCCCATAAGCACATACCTTAATTTCACTCACCTGGAGCAAAGCTTGAGCCCTCCTCCTGCAGCAGTGCTTCCTGAGGGTGGTGGCTTTTCATGAGGCACCTTCCATAAAGCATAAAGGGCAACAAGACTACCACCCTCAGGGAGCAATGCAGCAGGAAATAATGCCTAGGAGGTCTCAGCCTTTTTCGAAGTGAGTGAAGGTGTCTCTGAGCTGGAACTCCCAGAATTCTGCCTGGGGAATTTTCAGGAGAATTTTGGGATTTAGAGTCCAAATAAAACAAAAGCCAATGGTAAGGAACTGCATTCAAACATTCAGCCATATGTTGCTCATCCATCTATATTATTGATGGAATCCAGTCAAAGTATGTTGCTTTGTGCTCCATTAGTAACTGAATGGCAACTTGAATGGGGTCAGATAAACAGAATTATCATTCTTAAAGGACAGCTTATAGCGTCCCCACAAAACCAATTAACTTAGCTGTCATTAGAGTCCTGCATAGTGAGACAAATAGGTCTTAAATAAGTCACCATAACACACTGGTTTTGTTTGGTTTCTTTCCCCTTACTAAGTTTGCAGAACACTGCTCCAGGCTGCATACCTGCTGGACTGAACTGAGCTACAGCCTGCATATGGCTACGGCAGGTCACAGCCATGCCAGAGTTTGGTTCTGCGTCTGACACTGCATGGAGATGAGTTGAGCGCAGTTCTCCAGTTATTAGTGAAACAGTGGGTTCAGTATCAGCTTCGGAAATGTCTGGAAAAGGAATGTGGTCACAAGCTCCTAAAAATATAAGAAAAGGAAGTAATAATGTAATATGTTAGGACATCTGCAGAATTATGTCATGCTTTTTCTTCACCTATGGGCTCATTCAATCATACAGCAATAACACAGTATGTATACTTCTTTCTGAACTGTATCATTTCAAGTTCAACTTTGGAAGAAAAAATATGTTTGACTGCTGTGCTCCCAAAATTTAAATGTCTGTTCTGTGTAGACACAGAAATGTAACAGTTAGGAAAGAACTCTGGTCAGACATAAGCCTGAAAATAAATGGCCAAACAGGCTTTCTAGTGGTCAGAAGGGAGTGTTTTGAAGGGTTTACTGTAGAAAAAAATACATGCAACAAGACCTGTACAGAAATCAGCACTCACCACTTCTTGTCCATGCCAATTTCTGCAGCGCAGAATGTAGCATTACTGTACCTGGTAAAAGATGGCGGAAATCGGTGACATAGCTGCCTGTCCAGGTCCGTGCTGGATTACATGCTATTTCCATTTCATAAGGTGTGATCAGGGGCCTGTAGAAGTCACTCGAGTTAAGCAGTGAGTTTTGTGGACAAGCTACCAATACAAAGATATCCATCTCTGGAAAGTTTGCCAGCTTTTCAGGGTTGGGTTTGCCCACAGACAGTGTATAGGCACGTTTGCCTGCCTGATGAATGATTCCACGCAAATGTTCCAGAACAGTCAAGTAGTCCACAATGCCAAGAGTGCCCACAACAATACCCACTACCTGGGCATCTCGTGCTCGCTCCACTAAATAGAGGCGCCGTCGCAGGGCCCGGTTTACATCCACTGTTTCCCATCGGCCTTGTCCTGTCTTGGGGTCAAAAGAACTGAAGGAGCATTTGTTCCAGCTCAGCATGAAGTTTGTGAGCTCTGGCCCTTCACCACCCACATAGAACATGGTGTAGTTGTCAAAGCCATGCTGTTCATCTATGACAAAGAACCGCCCAAATTTCCGCACCAGCCCAAATATTGACTGGGCTGAATCAAGAAGTTCTTTGCTGTCCAGCTGGGAAAAAACAACATTGGGATAAATGGGATGCAGCTGAGAAGCCAGATCATCTGAAGAGACAACAAAAGATAATAGTAAAAAGTCACCTACATGAAACTGTATATGATCTAACCCAGCATTTTTCTCACAGCCACAATACCAAGCAGACCCCCTCCATGGAGACAGATGCAATTCCAGAGGCCAGGAAGAGCAGAAATGACATTTAAAGTATTCAAGCAGAGCTGAAGGTTGGTAAAACTATGGGCAGATCACAGGTGATGAGAGCTGGGAGCACAGATCTTTTTAGAGGTCTTTTAAAACAGTGGTTCTTAACCTTTGTTACTCAGGTGTTTTTGAACTGCAACTCCCAGAAACCCCAGCCAGCAGAGCTTATGGTGAAGGCTTCTGGGAGTTGCAGTCCAAAAGCACCTGAGTAACAAAGGTTAAGAAGCACTGTTTTAAAAGATGCCACATCTCCTACTTTCCAGAAATATATAGTACACTCACTACACTATTACTTTTTAATTTCCCTTTGCATTACACTACCTGTGTAAAAGTATCAAGGTCCCTCTAGGAAACATCTTCAATTCCTTTACAGATACTTAGCTTTGATGTAAGGAGTTCTGTCTTCTTAACAAGATAGCAAGCCATTCTCTAAGGCTTCTCCAACAAATAGAATTGGGACACAAAAAGAAACAGACACTACTAAAGGATTTTTCTTCTGTATAGGCTGCAGCTTGGAATTGAGAAAAACAAGTGAAAGGACAAAGACAAGATTTGATGGGAGACAGTTTGGGATTTGGGAACATCTTCAGGATGTAATAGAACCTTCCCATCTTGGCTGGAGATCTCTCTTGCACAACAATGGAACATCTAAACTGTGTTTACACTTAGATTCTACTCTGCAAGTAATTTGATCTTACCAATAGCATGAGAATAAACCACTTCGCTCAATACCACAACACAAGCTTGGGGGTCAGGATGCAATTTCTGGAAGACTTCTGCGCAGAGCATCACATCCAGCGGCTCATGACCAAACACATGTAGGACAGGTTTGTGGCAGGGGCTCAAACACGCAGGACCATAATGAATAACAGCCTCAGCACCCACATGCTGTGCTGCCACCTCATCCACACAACAGCTAAAGAAAAACAATAGTATTAGCTGTAGAATCTAAAAGCAAACATCAACAAACATCTGTCAGCCCCAACATATAGTAACAACTTCCACATGACTTCCCTTCAAATATTTAAAGATGGCTATCATATCATCATGAAGACAGGTGGGCCTGGTGTGCTCTGGTCCATGGGGTCACAAAGAGTCGGACACGACTAAATTACTAAACAACAACAACATCATATCACCACCTCAAACTTCTCTGCTTCAAGCTAAACATACCATCTCCCACAACTGTTTGTCACAGGGATTGGTTTTCAGATGGTTTACCATCCTGGTTGCCCTGCTCTGGACATGCTTCAGATTGGCAATATCTTCCTTAAATTTTGTTCCAAGTAAGATTTGATGAAAGCAGAATAGTGATATTACTACTTCTCTTGATCTGGGCATTACATTTGCATTTTGTTATTGCATCATAGTGTTAACTTACATTTAGTCTGTGGGTTACTAAGACACATACCAAGACATGTTTTTCATATGTTCTCCTGCCAAGTTAGCTGGTTTTTCTTCCGTAAATAAATACTGAATTTTACATTTTGTTGAAGCTCACTTTGCATGTTTTGGCCCAGTTCTCCAATCTGCTTAGGTCATCTTGATTTTGATTCTGTATTCTGAAGTATTAGCTGCCCTTCCCAATTTGATGTCATATGCAAATATGAGCATCACCCCTTCATCCAAGTCATAAAGTTGTTGAAGTACACTAGACCCATGAAAGAACCCCCACCTTCTATTGTAAAAAAGCCTTCTAGCCAACTGAGACAACCATAATGAGGCAGGTAAGAGATTACTAAGCAAATAGAGGCTGATATTTTAATATATGATCCGTAGAAAAAGGAAAAGATGTAATTTATCTGTGAAGACTCTCAGTCATCCAGGTGTGGTTATCTGGAAGTTGAGTGACTGGACTTCTTTCTTTGAAGCTGCTTGGATGAGTAGCAAAACGTTTCAGCCTAACAAGAAAGAAGTCCAGTTTCCATCACTCAACTTCCAAATATAACATAACTCCATGCATGTTAATTCACAGTAGGTTCTATCATGTTCAATTAGTTTTATTCCCCTCTTAGTGCTCCTAAGTGTGGTCTGAAATCCCTCGTTGTGTTTGTGTATGGCAAGGATGCTCCTGTAATCTCACCTGCCATATGATGTGTCCCCCAGAATGTACATCTTGGCACCAGTTGCTGATTCCAACCTGGTAGCGACATCTGCTGAATCTGGTAGAAGTTCATCAGGGAACTGAAGAGCAATCTATAACAAGAGATCAAAACAATTACTAAAACTATATACTCCATAAAATGTTTCAAAAAAGGTCTCTTCACTCTCATTGGCTGCTATCATTGTGGACTTCCCAGTACCCTACATGGCACTTTTTATTTATTTGTTTGTTTATTTGTTTGTTTGTTTGATTTTTACCCTGCCCCTAGAGTATGTCTTCTCGGGGCGGCTTACATCGATAAAAACATCAATATATCATGGATAAAATCACAAAAATACAATTATAACAATTAAATTCCAAACAAGATACTGCCAAGATGGCATGACTTAAAAAAGAGAGAGAGAAGAAAGAAAAAAAATATATAGAGAGAGATCACTTAATTGACTCGAGGGAAGGCCTGCTTGAACAGCCAAATTTTTAACTGGCTTTTAAAAACCACCCAGCGAGGGTGCCAGCCGAATTTCAGTAGGGAGGGTGTTCCACAGTTATATTACTCTGCAGCCAAAATGTGTCCCCTTCAGCTCTGAGGAAGGAAGAGTCTGCAATCCCTCTACCAGACTGCGAGGTATCCTCTCACCTTAGCAAAGCCATTATCACGTATAAATGCTGTGGTTCTCTCCACTTCATAGAACTCATCTAGCTTCTCCGTGGGAGGACGCCGACCTGCTCCTGTAGAAATCGGGGCCCGCTGCATTACCTCCGCTCCGTCACTGCTGAATGTTGTCGCCATGGCGACCTAACTACAAAAGGATACAGTGTCGGTTAACTGTACTGCGATATCCCACTTCAATCACGCCTAGCATGCCATATGCCCAGGAACACCTTGGCGTTTCCTGCTGGAATGCCACACAAGTCTACAGAGAGCACCTCGCTCGCACTCCGCTTCAACTGGCCTGGCACCGAGTAAGTGCTCGCAGCCTTCGTTTCCTCGCGTACAACAACCGGCTCGGACTGAGAGTCTCCCATCCGTCACAAGTATGAACTGAAAGGGAGAAGCGGGGACGAGCAGAAGGTGGAAGCAAAACGGGCGCTAGGCTGCTACCCCTAATCCATTTCTGAAAAGAGGGACAACAACATAACCACCCACAACAACCCACTCCTTCCCTTTACCTGCCCGGCTAGCACCCTAACATCAGGCACGTGAGGACCCCACAGCTCGTACTTCCGGGGTGGGGATTAAACTCACCCAATCACCGCGCCGGAGACATTTCCCCACCGGGACAGAACCACGCCTAACTCTTCGTTACGGCGTAGGCAGGATGGTCACGAACTTCCTTTCCTGAGGCATTGTGGGCGTTGTAGTTTAAGCCGGGTCCCGACGTAGCCAATCATTCGACCCGACGAAACCGCGTGGTGTGATTTGGATCCGGTCACGTGGAGAAGGGTCGTTCTTCGGAGTGTCAGGTGGTTTCCTGGTTCGGCTGCAGTCCGTGTTGGGGGACTCGTCGCCGCCATGTCCGGGCTCGCGCTGCTGTATTCGGGGTTGGGGCTCAGCGCGGCCGCCGCCCTCACGGGCATCGGTTAGTAGTCGGAGAGAAGGCCGAAACGCTGCGGCCGTTGCCCGAGGTTATGCCCGTCTCGCGTAATTCTCCCGCTCCCCGTTAGACGCCGGTGTCTGGTTGGAAAAGTCGTCGCGAAACCTCTGGTCCGGGTGGAGGGTGGGGGTTATGGAGGGCGTGCGGGTTCGGGTGGAGCAGTCCGGGCGCGTTGCTTCCGAACTACGGGATTGCTGGCTGCTCTGGGGTGCCGTTTGGCTTTATGCCTGTGGCCTCGTCAAAGGGTCCTCAGCGGAGGGGAAAAGGCACGATTTTGGGGCGCGGGGCGAAAGCATCGCCCCCTCAGCCCAAAATCTTTCGACCCCAGATTTGTGTGAGGCTTAGTTCTCCTTGATGCTGCCCTCTGTAAAAAGTTGTTTATACATCTGTTTCTGTATGTCTCTTTTCCTGTTCTTCCCATGTCCTCTGTAAATTCAGAAATTTCTGGATCAAGAGAAAACTTGGAAAGTTGCTTAAAAGAAAAAAATATAGCAGTAATTAAGCAGTAAGATGATGTTCTCATAGCCAATTACCTGGTGTTTTGTTAGGCATGGCTTTGGCATGTCACTGTATTAATTTTTATTTAAAGTGAATTTCCAAACTCTGGATCAAATTTGCAAAAAGAAAACTGATTTAAAAGATATCTCTCCCCACGTTGTCTAAGGAACTTCTTTAAAATTGCAGAAAAGAAGAAGTTAGTGTCAGGCTTTTCTAAAAGCTTTGAAATGCTAATTTTGAATTTGATTCTGGATGTCTATGGCCTCTTCTTAATGAAACCAAAGGAAAGGGCATTTAGAGGAACTTCCTTATTTTGAAGTTCTAGTTCTTCCACCTACTTGATCTGGTTTGAGCTAGGGTTACAGATACCTAAAAGGGAGTTGCTAGGGGACTAGAAGATTTATGGCATAACATGCAAATATTACCTCTTGGTTACCCTTAGTATCAAATCAAACATATTGTGATAAGGTCTTTGCTAGTACTCTAAATGTTTATATATAAACAAGGTTATTGAGTTTGATGTATTTGTTGTACTTCAAGAGTTAGAAAGGTTTGGCGCTTGTCACATCCTAGAGTTTTTTGTGTCCATATTGTTATCTTGTATTCCTGCATAATTTTAAATTGAACTGTGATAGTGTTAAATACCAGATAATACTCAAGGAATGTTTCTGGGGAATATACATAAGAAATAAATAGTCAAGGTTTCTGGGATTTTTCCCCCTTCCCATTTTTGTACTTCTTAAGGGCTTTCTTCAGACTTCAAAGGTGGGAGACAGGAATCTCAATGCTTTTTGCTTATTTTGTCTGGCACTACATACAAACTGGTGGTATCTAGTTTACATGCCTAGCAGAGGCTAGCAGTTCCTGTTTTTTAGCTCAAAGTTATTGTGATAGTCCCTGTTGTAGTTTAGAGACCAACAGAGATTGTTGAGAACTGCTGATAGCAGGATTAGTTATTACTGGGCAAGATAGGCAAAGGTTTTTTTTGGTTGACTGTTCTTTCTTGAAGGTTGGAATTGCATGCCATGATACATCTGTTAGCCTGTTAAGTGCAAAAGAAACCTTCAAATATTTACTTATTTATTTATTCATTGCACGTATATGCTGCCCATATAGACATTGTCTACTCTTGGCAGCTCACAACAGACAAGATAAAAACAGTTAATATATAGTAAAAGTTTTAGAGCAATATACATTGAAAACAATAGTTCAAGATGGGAAGAAGATAAGTTAAGTACTGTAGTGAACATAGTTTGGTATGGAGAAACCATGCTTTCCTCAGATCTATAGCACATTGGCAAGAGAAGGCTTTCAGGTTGGAGTATTCTGATCCACATTTATGGATCAGTTTTTCTACATACAAACTGCTAAATTTGAAGGTAGGTTGAGAGCAGTCAGATAACGGCAGATAACAAAATTATATACATGTAAAGGAACCTGTACTTGGTTCATCTCCCTTGTAGGCATTTCTCCTTGCTTCCAGTTTAGTGCTGAGTTAGTTGCAGGATCAGCTGGGGAGTTATCATTTGGGTGAAACCTGGAAAAAAAATATTTTTTTAAACTTTCTGAATGAGTCACCAGTATTCAGTGAGTCATTTTGTCAGCAGTGTGCCTGAAGCCTTACATTTCTATTTTACCCAAACACAAGCAAATAATTTTATTCTTAACCATCCCTATCAATATAAGTCCTTGCCAAACAGAAATGTTGATAGGAGTTTGTATGCCAGAGAGAGTAGGGACAGCCCCAATGCTTCACTCCTGGTTGAGAGATCTCTGACTTTTCTGCAAGGTTTAGCTTCAAAGCCCCTTTATATTATGAGGAAGGACCTCCAGGTGAATCCAGGCAAGTATGCTGTGTCTTCAGTCTACAAAGGAGCATCCTGGGAAGCCCTCTGCTGTGCTAGTTCTGTGCTATACTTGTTCTTGTGTAATGTACGTAGGGAATTTGACAACAGTGTTGGAGAGGCAATACCTTCACTTCTCACCCCACAAGGAGTGCTCTTTTTTTTGTTTTGTTTTCCAGTTTATTTTGTCAATACGCTTTGGAATAACTGACCTAGCAAGAAACCTATGCTGGTTTCTTCAGATCTGTTGGCAGGCTCAACTGGATTAACCCAGTTGAATTGGTTCAGACTTTTCCAGTCAAGGTTAAGGGATGATAAATAGCAAATTCAATTTTGACCTTCGGTCTCAAACTTCCCTATTTTTAAGGTCATTTTACTAGGTGGTTATAGGTAAAGAGAGGCTTTCTTACTGGATCCTACTAGAACTAGCAGTGTGCTGAGATGACCTGTTATCTTCCATGAGACATCATATCCATTCTTTATATGCATTGGCAGGCAGGTTCTGCCCCTCCCCTCATATGCTGCTTGTCAACTTAGAATGACATTACTTGTTTTTAATCAGGGGGGCCTCCTTTTCTGAGCATGATTGTGGCAGCAGTACCAGGAAGAAAGGAAACTTTTTTTCCTTTCTGCTAGGATTTTAGCGTTGCAGCCTTACGGTGGCAACCTGTCTTGTTTCCTGTGGTTTTCTAACATAGCATGAGCCTATTACTGCTTTATAGCTTTTGTGATGTAGGCATGAACTTTGCCAACTTGACTGGTGTGGGTGGACAGAGGATATAATGAATGTGCAAGAATCCCCCCCTTTTTTTTTTCATTTGTCCAGTAAAATGAACAGGTATTTTACCAGTGAATCAAAATCCATCATGCTGTCTTGCTTACTTGGTGAAGCATGAGAAGGAAATGTCTCCTTTAGTGCATTCTCTTGAGTCCCCTTTTTTGAGAGGAAGCATAGCAGTGCAGTGCTTGAATTAAGTGGTGCCTTGTTGAGAGTTGAAGTTACAGTACTTGTTTCCTCTGAGTGTGCAACAGTAGTGAGTAAGCAGTAGGACAAATAGTTGCCAGTATTATTTATTCATTGCAGTGTTTCTTCCTCTTTTTTGTCAGACAACTGTTGCTGTGAAAGCTTAGTTGCCTTCCCGGAAAATTAAACTGTTAACAATATTAGGCAAGTTTTTTCTAACTGTGACAGATTTCTGATCAGTTTGGCTTTTATCCTGAAATGGTTAGTCCTTGAAATAAGGAATTTTAATTTGAAGGAACAGACAGGCTGAAATCTTGTTCCATAGCTCCATGTGTGCAACCCAAAGCAGCAGAAGCACAAGGGAAATTCACAAATAACTTCCACATGCCTTTTGGGCTGCAGGGGGGAGTGGCTAGCTGCTTTCTCTAGCCCCAGTGGTCGTTCACATGTCGCCACAAAGGGAACTTGAGCTGGGAGGGAGTCAAATCATCTTACATTTTAAAGTTAATTGTGGCTTCTAAATTTTAATCTTTTAAACTGCCCAGTGTAGTCCTTGTATTAATAGGATGGTATTTAACTCAAATACATAAAGACATTATACAGCTTTGTAATGTGTCCTGAAATCCTGTGATATAGGGTGATCTATAAATGCTTAACTAACTAGCTAGCTAGTTAAACAAATGAAATCTTTTACTAGAGCAAAATCTTCAGGAAGTGGGAACAGCAAAAGGAATCTTGGAGAGTGACTGCCAGAGTCAAGGTAAAGGTTCCGCTTCACAATTTTTGTCCAGTCATGTTCGACTCTAGGGGGCGGTGCTTATCCCTGTTTCCAAGCCATAGAGCCAGCGTTTGTCCGAAGACAATCTTCCGTGGTCACATGGCCAGTGCGACCTAGACATGGAACACTGTTTCCTTACCACTGAGGTGTTCCCTATTTATCTACTCGCATTTGCATGCTTTCGAACCGCTAGGTTGGCGGGAGCAGGGATAAGCGACGGGCGCTCACTCCATCGCGTGGATTTGATCTTACGACTGCTGGTCTTCTGACCCTGCAGCACAGGCTTCTGCGGTTTAGCCCACAGCGCCACCACGTCCCCACAACCAGAGTCAAAGGTCACGTCACCTTTAAGATTTTTGCGACTGCTCCTGATGGTTGCCTGGGCTGCATAAACATGGACACATACAAGCTTGCCTTCCTTATAGTGTCCTCACTTGCATATTTGTGAGCAGAAACCAGCAGATTGTTTTAGTATAGTGACTAGTGGAGCCTGCTGCTGGTGTTGTTCCTAATCTCTTTCTCTGCTGGGAACAGGAGAGTGTACATAGACACCACTGCTGCTTTTGCAAATTTCACAGTGCTGGTGTAATTCCCAGCATGCATCTGCAAGTGTAACTTTGCATTATCCCAAAAATGAATGGAGTTTAAATAATTAATTTGACTGCAGAACAGCTGTTATAAACCTGTAGTGTTGTTACTTCGTTGAATATGTGACTGGGGCTACAAACTTGTACCTTGCCCATATACTTACCATGCTTCCCAATAACCTTTAATCTTAATTTGGGTTTTCTGATGCAAAAAACACAATTTTGCTCTCGAATATCAGGTAAGAGTGGTATTCACTATAAAACATGTTGCGGTGTGGCCATGGGCCTACAAAGGTAAAAATCGAAAAGGAATA